TGTGTGTGTGTGTGTGTGTGAGTGTGTGTGTGTGTGTGTGTGTGTGGCTCATTATCAGTCCTGCGTGATTCCAAATGGACTGATGTCTCTCAATGTCTGCCCTCGTCTCTCTGTTTTTTCTTCCACAACGTTTATGATCTTTTCTCATTTCTTGTCTCTGTTTCCTCCATCCACACGTCCACACGTCTTCCTCTCAGTTTGAGTCTCTCTCTCTCTCACACACACACACACACACACACACACACACACACACACACTCACTCACTCACAGATCCAGGTGGTTTGTGTCTCTGATGCAGCTAAAAATACAAGACGCAGGAGGAGAGACTCCCTCTGAATGATCCAGACATCATGAAATGAAGAGGCAGTTGTTCTGTCTCGACTCTCAGGTGTTTGACGCTCATGTCTAGACAACTGATTACAGCAAATGAGAGGCAGACAGACACAATAACACAGAGAGAGAAAGAAAGAGAGATGTCTGAATACTGGAGCTCATCCGTGAGCTGGAGTGAAATTCTACATGAGTGTCAAATGAGCAAAATCATATTTCAAAATCATGGAAAATGTCAATAGCCAAATGTTTGGTTATCTGTGTTTACAGTTTTATCTTGATTGATAACACACAATTCACCATTTTATCACAACTATAAACACAATTTCAAAACTACACACAGACTTCAGATATTCAAATATTTTAGTCAAAAACGTATTCTCTTTAATCAGAATACTGCACAGCCTAGAGAACACTAATGAGATCAGTTCAAAACACTGTTACAAAAACCTCCTTTTGGGGAATCAGGAATAATTTTGCAAGTCAATATCTGTTACAGTATGCAGCATAAATAGAGTGGTGCAGATACAGTCAAATTTAGCAATAAGCTTTAAGAAACCTTTACATATATATATATATATGTATATATATACACACACACACATTTAACTCTTCAATGTCTGCAGCAGGTACAAAACAGAGTAAAATATTAAATACATTCCATACGGAAATGTAATGACATACTGTATATCTCTCTATATCAAGAGTGATTGTTATCTATAAGGCTATATATAATTTCCACGTACATACATTCTCTGGGAAGATGAAGATATGAGTTTATAGCATATAAAAAATTCCCATAGCAAAATTTGTATGTGTGCACGTGTTAATAATATCTATATGATGATTTTTTTATATGGTATCATATGTAGCAACCATATGTCAACAATGTATATTTTATTTATATATGCAACTTTATTAAAACAACATATCTGTATGTTTATATATATATTTTTGTAATACATTTCTACCGTTTATATTTACTTATATAATATCAACATGTTTTGACAGGTTTTAGAATGGATATACGTGACATATATGTCCAAAAATGTATTACACATACATAAACATACATATTTGTATATACGTTAATATATTAAATTGTTCCAATTTCTAATATGTTTTTGCTTCATATGACAATATATTTCATTTATGGATATTTAACATATGTACGTACAGTATATAACATTCGAATATGGGGTTTTATAAACGTTCTATCCAGAACTGCGTGTTCATCTCAATAATGCTGAGCTCTTCTGCTCTATTTCTGGATCAAACGGATTAAGACTGAGAGGAAACTTGCTCAACGGAGTTTTGCTTTCTAACATCATGTGAGCGTCCAGCCGAATGAATCATCGTCTCTAAAGGTCTCAGACAGATTATGTTATCAGAGACCCAGAGTCTGATCAGGACACAGAGCTGAAGATGATCAGTAAAGAGAAAAACCTGCTTAAATAGTGTTGTGTGAGCAATGAGTGACTGTAATGAGCGCTGGTGTGAAAGACACAGAGAGAGAGAGACAGAGTGTTCATTCGGAGTGTGTTTTATGCTGCTGCAGTAGAGCGTCAGAGCCAGACATGAGCTCATGATAGCACACACACACACACACACTCACACTCACATTCACACACACACTCACACACACACACACACACACTCACACACACACTCTCACACACACACCCACTCACACACACACACACACACACACACTCACTCACACACACTCACTCACTCACACACACACACACACACACACACACACGCTAATAAGCCACGCTAATACCTCAGACTCAAGGTTATATGTTTCAGTCACTGTTGCTTGATGCATTTGCCATTCCACTATTGCAGCTGTCTAGTCAACGTACCTGTAGAATGTGACTGTCCACAGAGATGCGAGAGGAGGCCTCAAAAAGTGTGTGTGTGTGAGTGAGTGCGTGCGTGCGTGCGTGCGTGTGTGTGAGCGTGTGTGTGTGTCTGTGTGTGTGTGTGTGAGTGTGTGTGTGTGTGAGTGTGTGTGTGTGTCTGTGTGTGTGTGTTTATATACAAATTAGATGCAGTTTGTAAGATATAAACTGTTATGCGAGGAGAAAAAAAGTGCAATTTATCACTCAATTACTGTTCTTAACAAGCTGCTTCATGACATTGAGAACACTTCTAATATCAATTTTGTATGATAGTGAATATAATTGCTAAAATAAAGACTTTTATATCTTTCTCTGCAACAGTATAAAAAAATCAATCAATCAATCCAGTAATTACAACTTTTTATCTCACTATTCTGACCTTGTTTCTAACCCTGACCCAACTGATCAGTTGTATACCTTGAATAAAAGCATCTGCAAAATGCATAAATGCAAGTGTTATGTCATGACACGCTGCAGACTGCATCAGTACTGCGCTCCGGGTCACTGAGAGCCTGACAGAGGTCAGATTGTGACGGCAGACGGACACACCTTTCACGAGGTTGCTCTGACACGCTAAACAAACTACTGACCAAACTATATTTAACTATTCTAATGTGTTAAGAAGCTCGTACAGGTGTGGCCATCAGCTTCTGCAAACACACCGGAACTGTTTGCATTACTTATCTGTGCAGAATAATGACATTTAGTATTAGTCTGGGGCACTGGTTTTAGTTGAATGTTTTTAGGTAAACTTTTATTAGATATGTTTACGTTTATGTGCACACATTTTACCATAACAGGAATTAAAGGAATAGTTCACCAAGAAATGAAAATGCGCTGAAAATGTGAATCATTGAATCAGGAGAGAGATCTGCACAGATCAAGCAGTGTTTAAACAGCTCTAAACACATATGTGGCTGGATTCTGATGTGAGAGACAACAGCAGATGCACTTTTTCACTGCAGGAAGCGTTATTATGGATTATGGACTCGTATAAAAACGTCTTAATGCTGGATTAGTTTCAGCTTTTGTCTTCTCCAGATGTTAACTGATGGACTGGAGTGCTGTGGATTATTGTGATGTTTATCAGCTGCTTGAACTCTCATTCTGACGGCACCCATTCACTGCAGAGCATCCATTGCTGAGACACTGATGCAGTGCTGCATTTCTCCAAACCCGATGAAGAAACAAACTCATCTACATATTAGATGGCCCGAGGGTGAGAACATTGTCATTTTTGGCCGAACTATGCCTAGAAATTGTGTTTTTGGCCAGAGGAGGGCGCTTATTCTCTCAAATGGAGCTCAGATAGATGGAGTCAGTCTGTCAGCAGCACAATGACACTGCGACACTCACACTGAACATAAGAATCATGCCAATATTTCACAATGCAACACATTTTGATTTCTAATTCAAATCTCAAGTTAGAGGGCACTGATAATAAAAGAGTGTCTTTAAAACACTTTGGAGTCTGTCTGAAATAGCCTTGGTAAGCTCTAAACATATAAACTCTAAACGTGTGTTTTCTATTGTGTTGACTCTGATTGGCTCATGCACTCTGTGAAAGGCCAAGTCTGGCAGTGACGTGCTGCTGTCTGCCTCTAAGCCCCGCCCCCCGTGCGCTAGCCCCGCCCCTCTCGGGTTCCCAGCCAACTTGGACTTGAATGAGGTGCGCGCCGCAGACGGCTGGAAAGTAGTACTGACCGTCTGGGAATAACACCGGGAATAACACCGGGAATACTGGAGGACGGAGGCCAGACAGCGGAGCGGGGGTGGGGGGACGGAGGCTAAAGGAAAGCCGCTCCACAGCTGCCTGGAAGAAAGAAGCGTTGCCGAGAAAAGAGGAGAAGCCTGCGTCAATGTTCGTCCGTTTTCCGCGTGAGATTTCTCCGATGTTCAGCTTCATGGGTCTGATGAACGGAACCAGCGACACCCACACCAATGTCTCCTGTACGTGTAACTGCAAGAGATCCACTTCATTCCAGAGCATGGCGATCAGTGAGTATCCCTGCGCGGTGCTTCACTACACGATCCGAATCGCGGCGCTGGTTACACTGCATTGCGATTCGAATCGGCTTTCTTTAGTTTTGTGTTTAGATTAGTAACGGGCATTTATTCAATCCCGCGGTGTCTTTATGCGGTTATGTGGCTATTTAGACTGGTAAGCTCTCAGATAAACTCCTGGGAAAGTTTTGACGCGGACTAGTTTAGGTCGCGGAAGGATCCGGTTAGTAGGTGACGCGGTCAGAGACTGACTGACTCCTAGCTCGCTAAATATGAATTATGATCGAATTCACGTGGAGATGTTTGTGTTTAAAACTGAATAAGGATGATATCTGTGCGCTTGTCAGCCTCATTCAGGATGATCTGTTAAACGCAGCGGATATTTTGAAGAATCTAGTCCCTAGGTGTTTGGTTCATTCTTCAAAATATCTTCTTTGGCGTTTAACAGAAGACATGGGTTTCGGAACAATGTGAGTAAATGATGGCAGAATGTGAATTTTTGGTTGAGCTCTCGCTTGGCTTTTATTCAGACTGTGTTGCAGTTTCCTCACATGATGATATTATGATGCAATAACGTGCACATTTTCATAAGTGTTTTGAGGTCCCCAGGCCGGTCTGTTGATCAGACGGATGTGGGTTGCTCTCAGACAGTCAGACGGCTGTGTGTGTGACGCTCTGTCTGCTCTGAAATCCTCGGCTGGGAGTTGCCCGACTAATACTTCATGTGTAGTGACTAACTTATTGTTCAGACGGCTGCCCTCTGTTGTCCAGCAGACTCACTCATTCCTGGAATTCTCTCTGATTAACCCTCTTGCAAAATCTGTCTGCAGTTTCCAAGTAATCTTTCCTAAAGGAAAAGCTGAACAAATAACAAGGTGATATCAGTAAGAACTCGGCGTCTTGGGAAAAGGTCTGCTGGATTCCAGAGCAGAACTGGCTGTCCAGTAATAAATAATGTTCCTTGCGATCAAACGTCTCTATCTCTGTTTTCAGACGTCGTCTTGCCCTTGTTTGTCTAGACAGACTCTCAGTGACCTGATGATGTTCTCCGGAAATGAAAGCTAGTTTATCAAGTCACTCAGAGTTTGTTCTTCAACGGCTTGATTTGAGCTGTTTCTCGAGTGGGATTGTTTTGATTGTTTTTATTCTGCTGCTGTCTGTGAGGCGCTCTTGTTCCTGGACACGTCCTGACTGGGATTTCTCAAGTTGACTAAAATGTCCAGGTTTTGGCTTATTTGTGTGTTTGCATCGCTTTGGTTGTTCTCTGTAGATCCCGCCTTCTCACACACCACGATTGGTCGGTTGTGTAGAATGCCTGCACGCTATTGGTCAAGCTACTTTAAGTCATTACCTTGTTTGTAAGCAACAGGTAAACAAAGCCAAATCTGGGACACTTTAGGAAATTTAGAAATCCCGGCCAGGACAGAAAAGAAAGAGGACGTGTGGTCACCTGGTCATCCCGGCTTCTGTGATCATAAAGACGTGAAATCTCAGTGATGTTATTTTTAGACACATTTAAGCTTCATTCCTGTTATTTTTTGTTGATAACGCAGCCATGCTTGATTGTTGTCAGACGCACAAATCTAAAGATCATCATCATCTATGCAGCACGTGTATCAAATTAAAGGAATAGTCCTTTCAAAAACCAAAATTCTGTGATTAATTACTTACCCTCATGTGTGAATAAAAGCCCAAATTAAATCTACTTATGCACTTTTGAAGCATTTACCTTATTTAAGTTTTCTTTTAATGGCTTTCAATCACTCAGGTTTCATTAAAAATATCTTAATCTGTGTTTTGAAGATGAACAGTGGATTATGGATTTGTTATGACACAATGACAGAATTTTTACATGTTTACATCATTTTTACATTCACGTATTTGATAGGGCTGTATGATTTGAGGGGAAAATTCTCATTACTGTAAAAAACAAATGTAACAATTTTATGATTTTAAATGCATCATGATAGTAGCCTATTTGTTGTGCTGCCTTTAATATCTTAATATATTATATATATATATATATATGTATGTCTAATCAATTGAATTCATGAAACTTTAACCATTTAATATATCTGTGCGTATATATATATATATATTTTTTTTTTACAGTAATAGGGCATCACAGGAGTTATGAAACATGTCATTTAGTTATTTCTTTCTTTTGATTTGAGAAAGTTTTTGGTCTGGTGTTGCGTCTCTTTCTTTAAATGCGGGCGTCCGTGAGATCTTCACCGTGCAGTATCTGTCAGGATAAGCGAGAGCAGCTAGTGAGAAGCACACGCTCTCATCACAGACGCCCCCCGCTGCGTGTTTACGGGAACCCGAGCTTCTTCCTCTCCAGTGCTGATGAGTCTGTGTCTCGATGCATCAGTGACACACAGACTGCGCACACCGTACAACAGCAGATGCTTTGAGAGTCTTTGGATTTTTTAAAAAGAGGAACTACATGCAGACACAGATCAGCTGAAGATGCATCACAGAAAACATGTTTCTGCTCCCTCACTTCGTTTCACTGGAAAACTGCTGCAGTTCCTCAGTGCTTTTAGTAGATAATAAAAAATAGGTGCGAGGGCCCTCTTGGAATTGCTGTTTTTTCTTCTTCTCCAAAGTGAATCGCATTTTTGAGGGCCTAAGCATGCTCGCAAATTCACGAAACTTTGCACGCGCATCAAAACTGGCGAAAATGTACATCTGATATGGGTTTCGGAATTCGATAGCACCAACTATAACATTTCAACATTTCGTACGTGTATGAAATTCAGTACATGCATGTAAGGTCCCAACACCTACAGAAAAGTCTCTTGGAGCGAAGTCCTAAACGCAACAGGAACTCAGCCTTTTCGAATTTCCTCTACGAGTTCTGTGCAGTTTTTGCCATTTTCAGGCCTCGTATTTTAACGAACTCCTCCTACAGTTGTGATCGGATCATTTTCAAATTTGGTGTGTGTAATCATAAGGCCTTTGCGATGTTAAATTGCAAAGATCTTGAGTTTTCGTCGAAGGGCGTGTCCCTGGCGGCCTGACAAAGCTTGATGTTTCGCCACGAAACAAAGTTACTGTAACTCAGGCAAGTTGTGTCCAGTCTGCCCCAAACTTCACACGTTTGATAAGAGTCCTGTCCTGAACACATCTAAAGGCCAATATTCAGTTATTGTCATAGCGCCACCAGCTGGCAGCAGGAAGTTTGGCACATAGAAATGACTTTGACATATTCCTCATTCCTAAAAGTCTAAATAAATGACTTAATTAACTTTTTGAAGCGTTTGCCCCAGTTGAAGTTTTCTTTCAATGATTTTCAAACACTTAGGTTTCATTAAAAATATCGTAATTTGTGTTTTGAAGACGAGGAAAAGTCTTATGTATTTTTATTGACATGAAGATCAGTGAATGATGACAGAATTTTCATTTTCTGAGTGAATTATACCTTTAACAATTATATTTCACATTATTTGCTCACAGGGCTGCACGATTTGGGGGAAAAAAATCAAATTATTTGTTTTTCTGATAAAAATTATGATTGCAATTTAAAATGTGACTTAAAAAAATTACACGTCTGCTTTGCTTGTTTGTATGTCTGCAGATTAAATATCAATATGGCTGTAATTGCTATAATGATAATCGTTATTATTCTTACTAAACTATAAAAATTACTAAATTAAAACAAAATAAGAAATACTGCTATTGAAACTTTTCACTGCAAAATGAAAAAAAAATCAATATTTAAGAAAAATAATATAGTAATAGTAATTTTATTGTATGTTACAACTGTAAAATTACAATACTAATAATTATATTTTGATGGAAAACTGCTGTAAGCCTTACAGTTTCTCTCTTGTTGATGAACGTTTCTCATTACAAGTTTGTGAAATGGTTTTGTGATTTGATAATCGCGTATCGTGATTTCAGTTGATTTGGATTAATCGTACAGCTCTGTTTGCTCATAAAGTTGACTGCTGCTGCTCGTCTGCTCTCTCTGCTGTTGATTCGGGGTTTGTCGTGTCTTTGTTAAGTCGCCGCTCCGCTCATTATCCGGCCTTGACCTCGTGACGCATTGCTGTGTCTCTGAGGCCCGAGGCAGAGCTTTCTGATACGAACACATCTGTGTGGATCAGGCGCTGAGGAAACACACCGCTGTGTTCTGCTCTTCACAGAACAGGAAGAGGAAACAGCTGCGCTCCAGAACGCGTGTTTCAGACCCACGGCTACATAAGAGCCTGTCCGGTTCAGCAACAATGTGTGCTGAAGAGTTCGCTCTGTCATGTACTCAGCCTCACGCCGTAGATCCTCAGTGTCTTGACGAGTCGGTTCCTCACAAACACTATCATATGACTTCAGAGGAACAGAAACTAGACTGAAAGTTTGGAATAATTCTGATGTTTTGGAATTTTTTAAGTCTCGTCTGCTTACCAAGGTTGCATTTATTTGATCCAAAATACAGTAAAACACTGTAATATTGTGAAATGTTACTACAATTTACTAGGGCTGGGTTTTTATACAATTTTCACAATTCGATTCTCATTGATTAGCTTTCGATTCGATTACCAATTTGATTCAATTCAATATCGCTTATTTGGGATACATATCAAGTACAGTCAGGGTTTAAATTGGGCCGGGGCTGAGCATAGACTGTATAATATTTTAAGATTCTATTGCTGAGGCAAGGCTCACGCAGCCTCTCCAGGAGAAATCAAAATCAATTGAAAATGGAAAGTGTTTATATTTAAAAGGCAGTTAGTTAGGCAACATCAAACAACGTTTTCACCATTACGACTGTTTAATAGTTCTATAAACAGTTCAATAAGCAAATACAATAATATTAGGTCGCTTACATTTTAGGCGGAAACAGCGCATCTCACAGCAACCGCCGATTAATTGCTGATTGATTCCGTGTTTTGAAGTTTCATTAGCCCATGCATAAACATCTGATGAATCTGCCGTTTGAACGAATCGTTAGAATGAATGACTCAGTGACTCATTAAACGCTCACTACT